TTAGGTGTGCGTATAATCCTGTCCGAGTTACGTTCAACCTTCTGGATTTTAAGAGGACGTCAAGCTATAAAGCAAGTTATTCACAAATGCCTACCTTGCAAGCTGTCCAAAGCGAAATACGGAAAACAAATCGAAGCTCCTTTACCTCCTGAAAGAGTTGTACCTTCTGCTCCATTTACTACCACAGGAATTGATTTTGCTGGACCCGTGAATATTCGATGTTTGAAATCAAGAGACACAGCCTACATAACACTATTTACTTGTGCAACAACACGTGCATTACACATCGAACTTGTGTCGGATCTTACCACAGACAAATTTCTTTTGGCACTACAACGTTTTGTTGGCCGCAGAGGACTCCCACACACAATCTATACCGACAATGCTACCACTTTTCATGCAGCAAATAAGGACTTGATTCTGCTATGGCAAGTTCTGTCATCAGCTAAAACTCAGCAATATTATGCCCAAAATGGCATAACTTGGAAATTTATCGCCCCACGAGCGGCTTGGTGGGGAGGCTGGTGGGAACGCCTAATCGGAGTTGTCAAGCGATGTTTACGAAAGGTACTCGGACGAGCACTTCTTGACGAGGAAGGTCTGTCCACGGCCCTCATTGGAATAGAAGCCGCTCTGAACAGCCGACCATTGATATACGAAGATGACAGTTCCACAGCCTTAACACCAAGCCATTTCTTGACAGGACGGAAACTAACGGCCATTCCATCCAGCCCAAATAACAACACAAAGCTAAGAAAATTCTACAAGCAGCAGCAGGACTTACTCGACTGCTTTTGGAAAAAATGGTCTAAGGAATATTTGCTTCAATTGCGGTCATTTCATCAAGTTCGTAATCAGGACAATATCATTAACATCCGAATTGGCGATATTGTACTTCTACAAGAAGATGCCCGACCACGTCACATGTGGAAGAAAGCTAGAGTAGTGAACTTGCATGAAGGACGAGATGGAAAAATAAGATCCTGTAAGCTGAGAGTTAATGGTCGCAATATAACCCGTCCGGAAGCTCTGGTCATCCCCCTCGAGATCGACCAGGGTGGGGAGGATGTTGAGGTTTGAGTTCGAGATTAGTTATAGTTTTGAGTTTCCTGTGCTGGAAACATCTTCTTGTTTTGTTGAGAGCAAATGAGACTGAAAGTCACGTAGAATAAACTGAAAACTTAACTTTATTTACATCAAGAAGAATATAAAAACAAGAAGATGTTGCCAGCACAGGAAACTCAAAACTATAACTAATCTCGAACTCAAACCTCAACACTTGGTAACTAACAAATTAAGCGCACTTCAGCAATGCAGTAAGAACGGGACTTTGAAACAAAACTCTTCTAGTTATAATCAATTTGCTCTTTCGCTTTCATGTTTTGCAATCTAACAATTTTGTTGCGAAAATATTTTTAAATCGTTCTTGAAAAATTTCCCGTTCATGTAAGTACATTTGAATTCGCTACTCGCTTTATAGATTTTGTTTTATTCTGTTTTTTCCTTTTTCTTTTCTTTTATTTTATTTTCTGTCTTTACGTGTTATTTTTACATATTGTGCTCTATTTTATTTGTTGTAATTTTTGTAAAAAAATTTTTGAGTGCTCCTCAAACTNAAATAAAAAAAAAAAAACCTGTAGTGAAACTTCTGTACGAAAATTTAAAACCTACCTATTTTTTTTTCTTCCAAATTAGTAATCTTAGAGTAGAGTGGTCTTTCATAGATTCAATAAAAGAATAAATTTTTTTCTGAAAAGTTAGAAGTGACTTTTCAAATTTTCTTCTAAAAATTTTGCAAAAAGTGTTTTAGTTTTTTGTGAAAACTGCTCATCTTATTTATAAACCTATTTTCTGCTACCTTTACATTTGAACAATATTATTATTCGTCGTAAAACGTAAATTTTGAAGAAGTGGTATTTAAATAATATTTAAAATAAGTTGATAATTTTTAATATGATAACCATTTTAGTTTTTTAAAAAGACACCGAAAATGCCTAATTTCAGACCAAAATTTTATTACTTTTGTTATATTTTGGTAATCTTAAATGGTTTTGTAACTTCAAAAAAGAAATTAAAAACTGCAATGATTAAGTTACCATTTATTATGTTTTTGAAGTACAAGAGAGAGCACAAGAGTTTCTGCGGCTGAGGGTCAGTTTTTAAATTGTGTGGAACTGCAGCTTCAAATTCATAAATAAACAATTTATATACTGTTAATGCAATCTGTCAAATTTTTTAAAGTGGTAATGAAGTAGAATTAAAAAAAATTTCAATTTGAAGAAAAAACAAGTAGATGAGAAACCTTTTCGAATAATTTTGTAATGCTCGTGAGGAAGTGTAGTTTTAACCATTTTTTAGTAACCGTGAGAAAAATATAGCTGCACTCTAAAAACAGAAAAAAATTAAAAACAGGATACAGACACATAGTACCATATATTTTCTTCACATAAAAGTTACATAGATTATGTCCATCATGGATATAAAAGGCGCCAAAGAAATCAAATGATCAAAACGTTTTCATTCTTTGAAAAGTACAGAAAAAAAATCGTCGCTCTTTTTTACTTTTTAAACAGCAACTTTCCTCTTCAGCAGCAGAAGATGAAGAAAGAAGCAGTCGCTGAGAGTTTTCGGTACATGCTTATCATTTTCGTGCATTTCATTTCCAGTATCCGCCAACTGCCGTTGTCACTTAGTACTTTTCGTTGCAAGATTAATCGAGATTTAGGACCTAAGTTTCTCGTCAATTACCAGTCTTTATCTTTTCGAGAAAAAAAATAGAAACGTTCATACAAGAGGGGTTTTAGGAGGATCAAAGAATATAGGCGTTGTGATTCTTAGTGAAATAACGATTTCTTTCCTTCCAAGTTTTAATGTTTTATGACAATTTTAATTTATATCGTCCTTTTAAACAAAGAAATGTAATTATTCAGTTTCTAAATACACATAATGTAATATCCTATTTTCTGTCGTTTAGAGCTTAGTTCATATTCACCTACATTTTCATTTGAATCAACAAGTGCTTCAACGAAGGGTAACAACATTGCTACTTCAGAGGAAAGTACTTCAACCCATTTTACCAACATAGTGACTTCAGGTGAAAGTACCTCATCGCAAGTTACCAACATTGCCACTTCGGGAGATATTATTTCAACACACTCTTCCAGTAGTGGGACTTCATGTCAAAGTACTCAAACGGATTTTATTGGCATTGTGACTTCAGGTGAAAGTACCTCATCTCAAGTTACCAGCATTGCCACTTCAGGTGAAAGTACCTCATCGCATTTTACCAACATTGAGACAGATGAAAGTACAACGACTATTAGTACAAGTGACATCGATAAGACTGGAGTATTTACCAACACTAAGGAAGGCAAAGAGGAAAATACCACTTTAACAACTGCAATGCCTTTGATTAATGAAGCAACAGCAAAAAGTAAGAACTTCAGTAAAATCACTTAAATACGGAAATAAGTAAATGAAAACTATTGAGTTAATATGAAGTATGCTTATATAGGAAGGTTGCCTAATTCGTACAACTTTTAACATTTAAATTTTTATGACTCACAAATCACTTACAATTACATTTGAAGTGTCTTAATAATAAAATAAGACTGTTTAGCTTCTTTTATTATTTTTAGTAATAATATTTTTGCAGTAAGTAATGAAAAATTATTGTTTACGCAAGGTCTGAGATGGGTTCGGTTTATGAAACCGGTTTTCTAATTCGTACGATCCCTAAAAATTTTATGATTTATATGATTAAGTGAATTTATATGATTAAGTGAATAAATAGATTATATATAACCAAAACAACCTTATTTAGAAAAAGCCATAGAATGAAAATAATAAGACCACTCTATTTAATGAAGAAATACCAATGGTCACCTACGATCATAATCATATTTCAACGACTATCAAGAAATCTAATTCTGCTTATCAAGCACTTCTACCATTTTTTTCTCACAATTCCAAGACGTCTTTAATTACAAGAAGAAACATTTATTTAATGTGCATCCTGGTTTTTTAGCAACATAACACAGCACAATGACCTCAAAATTAAAAACTCTTATCTGCAAAGATTAAACGCATCGTTCTTCTACGAAGCTTCAAACTGTGCACAATGCAATTTCTAATCCTCAATTTCGATTCAATTAAATATTATTAAATCGAATATGATAAATGAAATAGATTAACGCTCTATTCAGTTATGCCGCAGCCTTCATTATTAACGACAGAGTATTGTCGAAATACTTTAACCACTCAATTTAAATTATCAACATCTTCAAGATGAACTGATTCATCTGAAGCAGTAGACCTTCGGGGGAGGGGAAGTGATACAGGGACTTGAGATATTTGTTGATTCGCATCAATATTTAATGATTTTTGTAAATATGTACACCTATTTTGTAAATAACTCCCTTATCCCAGATTATTTTTTGATTTATATCTTTCATTTTGTATACCTCTTCATCTTTACAAGATTTTGATTATTCTCGTTTAATTTTACGCTTACGTAAACAAATCTCGCACTCTTCTTTCCTCATTCTTTTTTACCCAACTTAAATAAAAGAGCATCTAGCGAACAAATTTCCACAAATTTAATTTTTTACTATAAAACAAGATTTATTAGCAAATGATAAAATCCTTCTAATAATGGTGCGTACAACAAAGTGTAATGGTACTAGGAAGTAAAACTTACGAAAGAAGACATAATTTTATTATGGATAATCCCCAGCACCAATGCAGGCGTCATTTTTAACTGATCTTATTTAATAGTACAAAGCCAAATGTGTGAAAAATCTTTATAATTTTGAGTTTTCTTATAAAAGTAAGAAAACTATTTGCTTGAAATTTTTTTAAAAATTTTAAGATTTTCAATAAAATTACATTTTTTTATCCATTTGTAATTTATTGACTGTCTCTTAAACATCAAAAATCTTTAAACTTCATTGATATATCTGAGAAATTGAGAAATCGCATGATCTAAACACTTCTAAAATTATTTCTGTTCTATGTCGACTCCTAAATTCCATGCTTAATTTTATAATATTTTTATAATCATTTATAGAGCAACCACTAGTGTTTATTGTCCTGGGAACTACTTTCTTATTAGTTCTTGTTGGAGCCACTTTGTCAGCACTAACATACAAAAGGTATGTATCATGTTATTCCTTATTATAAGATTTGTGATATTGATGATCGTGGCAAGCATAGTTCAGTTTGACATGCATTCATACATGCATATTTCTCACTTCTTCAATTCGGAGCATAGGGCTTCCATTATAGCTTTACACTTCACGCTGATTGTGGCCAGATATTCTGTCTCTTTCCTCGTCTTTTCTACTGTTTTCAATTCACTTGTAATCGTTTTGTGAAATTCCTCTTCGAAAGCAAATATCACCCAATGCTTAATCCTTAGTTTTCTTGATTCGGCTTAAAATTACACGGCAACAGAGTTGAACACTGGTTGTCATAAACTAACAATTGGATCGAGTGTTCAAAGACGGTCATAAAATGAAATAAAAATATAATCGCCCAGTAATTTTAGATCTTCCTCTATTTCAATTGCCTTGAGGGCTCCACTATAAAACTCGTTTTAGTGTAAGTTTCTCAGCTTGACACGAATTAGTTTCAATATAAGGCAGGCAAATATATTTAAAAAAAAATACAATTATGCATTTTTTTACTTAGTCAATGTTTATAAAAAAAATCATGTTCATACGCATACGCTAGTGGCCTAAAGCGCGATACTGCAGTGAAAATTATATATATATGTATATATATATAAATACAAGAAAACATGAAGAAAGTTAAGAATATAATCGTGTGGGCTACTGAAAAGATTATATATTTTTTTTTCCGGTTTTTT